ATGGACACATCACAGTGCTTTTTCCTGTTCTTAGCCTTCAATTTCCTCTGGCGAAATATAAATCCATTAGCTTGCTCCCTGCCCTTAATTAAGAGCACAGAACATGAATAGATCCCAAAATGAGCATGTGTCTTGGACTCACACGAGCTAGCTCCTAAATCCTGCACTTCTTGATTCTATTGATTTCTATCATTTGATCACAGCATTTTTCAGAGCATCTTACAGGAACGCGTGAGGAATGATGAAGCGCTCCAAGTGAAGGGTGCTGATCCCTAAGTGCCTGATTCACAAGGAGAGCCTCAGCAATAAACATCCTGCTGTGCACAAAGCTCTTACACAGATTCCTGCTTTCCTGCAATTACAAAAAGGCAACCCTAAAACCCACTAACAGTCAGGGCTGACAGGTGGCAGTATGAACGTTTTTCATTAACATCTGATTCCACAAACAGAGCAAAGTGAAGCTTCTGATGGGAAACTAGACATAAGAAACTTCATAAAAAGGAAATCCCCTAATTTCCCTGACCAACAGTACTACTCCTAAGATCAGCTTTAGCGTGCCGTATCACCTAACTTTTTCTAAGGGAGAGCCCCCTAAAATCCAGACAAGGCTGCCACACGAAGCAATGAACAGTGAGGGCGTTTTGCCAGTTATGTTCCTTCAGTAACTGGTGTCCTGAAGCTGGTCAACACCAGGCACGGCTAGCAGAGGACACAGTGCTCAAATCACTTTGTAAAATCCTCTCAAGAATTTGCAGGTCTCTGGTTTACCTATCAGAAAAGAAATGAGATGGAGAAAACAAATGGCAGTGATTTTGCTACATACTTAGAAGTAGTCAAGAGGTTCTCCCCTTCAACACGTAGTGAGCTTTTTTCCTTCAAAAGAAAGCTTCTTTTCTTACATGAACCTGATAGGTCGGTTTGTCCTTCACAGCTTAAGAGGTGGTTTCAGCCACTAATTGCTTTTGGTTAGGAAAAAAGATACATTTATTCCGCAAGTATGGCTCTCAGCCTTTAAAATCCAGAAAGGTCAGAGTGCTTATGGGGTTTTCTGTTTGTTTTGTACCAATAACAGAAGGCAAAAGCACACAGCAATGCAGATAATGCAAATCAGCTCTAAATCCATGGAGCTCCAGAAATGGAAACAGCCTGGTTGTCATAGCAGCAGAGCATGCTACCTGAGCTAATTACTCAGTCTGAGAGGCAGAGCTAATTAGCCCAGAAGCAGCATCACACTGACACAGATCCTTCAGGGACCCGGGCACACATCCTGCTGCTGAGACATTTCAGCTTACTTGCAGCTAGCATGAAAGAAAAAAAGTTCCTTCAGATAAGAAAGCAACTGAAAAGAGCTCTGAAACAAACGCAGCAGACTGACACTGAGCTGCAACGCCACCGCAGAGGACAGCTGTATCCTCACTGCCACAGATCAAACTACCAAATCTGCACTGGCAAACTCAGTTGCACAGATGTACTTATTCCCTCCTGTCAAGTGGAAGCAACCAGTTTATCACCACAACAGCCTAAATTCTATAAGCTCCCTGTTATTTAAGAATGCAAACTGCTGCATTTAGTTTCTGGCAGACCTGGAAGAATGCAAATACAACACCTGTGTTATGAACTGTGAATACTGTAGAAAACAAGTATTACCAAACAAACAAATCTTCTTCCTAGGACTGGAAACAGCATTTATTTATGGTTTTTCCAAAAGCAAAAGCTTTTTAAAAACTGAACATTAACTTTTTCATCTTTCAAAGCCACCAGCTAACTTAAGAACTTCCCTCTAGAAAATGAGAAGCATCTTAAAGTGGGAGGAAACAAGAAAATACATTTATCAATTTGCCAGTTCTTGGCAGCCATTCTTCTTTCATAGAAGCAGCACAAACCGTCACAAAGAACACTACATCAACAGAGTGTCAAAGGAAAGGATTTTTGCTGGAATTCTTAAGGAGAGTAAAATAAAGGAAAACTTGAACTGCTTTCATGTTTTTGTAACCAAAATCAGCAAAGGCAATAAACATAAATGTTGAGTGGGAAAACTAGTGCAAAAAATGGTGTAAAGAATTAATTTAGGCCCTTTGAAAATCCAATTATTGGATGGAGATGCTTTTGTTAGCTTAACAGGACAACCACTACATTCATGATCACCTTTAAAATACAGGAAAGATTATGGAAGTCATCCTGGAAATAATTCTCTCATGTTTTAATTGTCATAATTACACAAACCAGAACACATCATACAGAAAGTAACTGATTAAATACTCAAAAGTGCTGACAAAGAAATAAGCAGACTCTTGAACATTTGGTTAATATTTATTGGAAGTTACACATATCTCACACGTTAGCCTGCACAATACATAACATTTTCCATTTCTAAATAATTGATGCTATGTGACTGCTTATTCCTACTTGCAAGAAGTCACCTTCTCATTTCAGGAAAATCTCTAAGCAAAACTGAAGGATGCCAAAACTCATTCAAGCATACGTGCAGCCCAATAGAATGGAATAAATGTGTAAAAATCACTATTTCTCTGATTATAAATATTTTTGTCAGGTTCAGTACTGCTGCCAAATAAAGCTGTTAAGTTTGGTACCCAAACAGTCTCTAATAAAAGTCAGAAGAGGCACCTACTCTTCAGCTATTTGAAGGTTTTGAAATAAATGTCAAGCTAAGTGTATTTTACATATATTTAGATATCAAATATTTCTATTTGCTAAACTCAGTGTCCCTTTCAAAGCTCCCTGGGGAGCCTCCTCCCAAGTTAGCTGCTGCTCTCCTTCCCTCAATTAATACTCACAAAGTTACATCTGTTAGTGGTTAGCATTTAGATCAGACTTCTATTTTAGATTAGAAATTAAAATGTCATATTTGGGAGGAAGTTTTTCAGCCAGAGGGTGGTGAGGCACTGGAACAGGTTGCCCAAGGAGGCTGTGGATGCCCCATCCCTGCAGGCATTCAAGGCCAGGCTGGATGTGGCTCTGGGCAGCCTGGGCTGCTGGTTGGTGACCTGCACACAGCAGGGGGTTGGAGCTGGATGAGCACTGTGCTCCTTTGCAACCCAGGCCATTCTAGGATTCTATGATATAATAGAGCATGTATTCTTCCAATGAAAAGGAAACTTCCTCACACAAACACAGAAAATGGCCAAATTTCCAGACCTCATTTGCTTTAAGGATGGCTTACTGCAGGTCTTACTCTAAGCAGCCTATCAAGGAAATCCACCATCTTGTGGTAAAGCTTTTACTTTTTGCAGTGCACAAGCATGCTTACAGCACGAGAGCGAGAAAAGGCAGAGCTGGGAATGGTGAAGAACAGAGCTGTTTGCCAGGGTTTTAACCCTCCTCACAGCTGTTTTGCACCCACTGCAAAAACTCCAGCACAGAAACAAATCCCTCCACCACCACACTGTAAAGCCAAGGGACAAGTCATCTTTGCCTCCTTTTTCTTGCCCTTGCTATTTGAAACCAGAAGGCCACTAAAGCGAACTCAGCAGAGAGATTCCCTGTGAATGCAGAACTATTTACCATAAATCCATCAAACAAATAAAAATAAAAAACCCAACAACAGCATAAAGATTAAATGACATCAGCCACTTGAAGTGCTGTGCTTCACAGCCAGTAATGGATAGCTTTTCTGGGAAGCATTTGCTCCAATAGCATATGGCTGACAGCGGGCATTCAGCCTCAGCAGTCAGTAACAACATGTTTAAAATAATATGATTCTTCTGAGATTTTAAGTGCTGCCTTCTCAAATAGGGAAATGTAGGAATTAGGGAAGAGCAGCCAAGGAATGAAGGTGTAGAAGTCTGGTCTTTTTTCCACACGCACTTTCAAAATAAAGTGGTAAAAATAATTAAAAAATAAAAAAAGTTCAACCACTTTCACATAAGCAGCCAAACAAGTCTGGAAAATATTTCAGGTAATCTGTGTGAAGAGCACAGACACAGGCTGGTATCCTAAACCCCAAGCTTCAGTCCTTCCATAGCTCCTGTCTTTCCTACCATCCATAAATAACTTTATTTTGTTAAGCTACTAAAACACACTTGCTGAAGCTACTGTTGGCTGACATTTCTTTCTCTCTGATGCTTTTACCTGTAGCTGGGACTTCTCCTTATATTTAAGAAGGAAGAAAATGGACTTCTGACTAAAGCATTGGATGGTCTGACAGTATATTTACATGCCAGTTACAAAATGGAATAAAAGTATTTTTGAATTGTAGGTTATTTTCAATAATACTCCAGGCAAATCATATGAAACATTATTAAACTATTAACAGTTTGGCTCTGGGTGCTACAGACTGGAGTTTTGTCTTTCACTCTTTTCAAGGTTGAGTTAACTGTAAAATGGCAATACATGAAAAATTCATTACAAAGCACATTGTAGAAGAGAATACTGGAAAGAGCAGCCCGTGCCAGATAAATGGAGACTGATTAAATGGGGTTTAGAAGACTATCCACTGGCTGCTGGCTTGATACAATATTACAGAAGAAGAATTGAGATTGGTGCTTCAGGGAGAAAAAAAACAAACCAAAAAGCCAAGAACAGCTTCTTTCTTCCTATTTGAAGGCAACCCAAGCCCGACTCCCTCCTCTTCAGTTAAAAAAAGGCTTATTTTCCTAGAGAAAGAGAAAAAAAGGCAGTTGAAGTATAGTTACACCTACTAATTCTTGTAATAAAAAGATTAGGGAGGAAGAGAAAGGGGAAGTAAAGATACGCCTACCTTGATTAACAGATCTTTGGTCTCCTTTTGCTGACGAGCAGAGTGTCTCTGTGAGGATTTGTACACTTTAGGATGATGACAGGAAAGTGAGAAAAAGAAAGGGTATGCCCTTGACAAACAAGCTTTAATAAAATTACTCCTGAATGCAGACAATATTTCTGTATAAACCATGCACACACGGAATACCTCCACACACCTCCCACAACAGAATCAGCATTTTCACTAAGACAACTTGTATGGCTGTCAGATTTATTCTATACAACTTGTTCCCAACGTTCTGTACCTCGACATCCTGAACACTGGATAAAGAAGTTGATTAAATCCAGAAGTGCTATGTCCCTGTCTTGTTTATATGATTCAATCCAGTCGTCCACCACAGACTGTCAAGAAAAAAAGAATACTGATCAGACACTCTCAAAAAAACATTTTATTAAAGGCAAAGTATTTATTCTTTTCAGAATCTAATTTCATAACTGAGAATTTATTTTACATAATTACATGTGTATACAAATGCAGAAATCTGTACACCTTCTCTCAGGGTGGAGACAGAACAAATACTGTTAGAGAGCAGAACCATATGCACTGTTTTCCATAGTATAATCACATAAAACACAGGTTCAAATTCAGATTACTTTAATTCCTGAAAATTCCACTTGCAGTATTTATCCAGTTTCACACTTGCATTAAAAAAACAAAGACTATGACTACATACAGAGTGACCAACATACATGCCCAGGAAACTAATGAGCAGAAGTCATTTGGGGATAAAAAAAATGAATTTACACTGCATAATGAACATGTCAATATTTATAGAGGTCTAAATACTGCATCAATCATTCAGAAACACTGTACGTAGCTCAAGAAGGCAGAATGAAATGAGTATTTTGTAAACAAATCCCATATACAGAAGTTGCTTTTATAGTGTTTGGAAGTCATTAAGCCACCTGAGTCTCAGTTGACTCTCAGCAGAGTCAGTTTCAAACCGTGCTCAGAACTGTATTTAGTCAGATGTCTTTATCATCACTGATCAGCAGGCACAGCACGCGGCCATTGCTATGAATCATAGCAGGGGAGAGGACAGAAAGCACACAGGTGTCGAGGTTTGTATTTGTCATGTATTAATCTCTGGGGACACAGAACGTGCTTCAGTGGCTTGATGAAAACATCCAATAAATGAATTTTGCCAGTCAACATAAAAGTGCAATCACATCACTGGAAAGGGCCAACAGCAGTTATACACCAGCTGAAATGAATGCAGAAACACATAATGAATGGCAAAGCCCATAGCTGCCTCCCTGACACTTTGCCTACAGTTCTGACTGCAGAACTATCAATGCAGGGGAGACCCATGATTTTTAAACCTCCCAAAGTCACTAAAATGAAGCAACGAGGAAGAACCAAAGAAAGAAACTGTGGAAATAATTTTAAAACTACAGTAAAAAAGCAAGAGGGTTGTGTGGGTTGCTGAGGTCTTTAGCAATACACGAACGACTTCCTTCCATGTCACTGATACACAGTATTATCAGAGCTCTCCATTCTGACTTCCTCAGTAACACAAGCAGGGACTGTCGTGAATTGTACGTGCTTAATGTCACTATGATGTCATGTTTTACTCATTTGATTAGGAGAAAAAAAATCCTTCCTGCTCCGTGCATGAGACAGCACTCACCAGGAGAAGCATGATGAGGCTTTTGGAGCATATCTGACAAATGGATTCTTGTATTTTGAAGTTTGGGCTTATAATGCTTTTCTTTCTATGTATTTGCAAGAACAGCATCTGCAAAATTAGCCAATATGCTCCATCTTTAACACAAATCACTACACTTGTTCTTAACCCAAGTCAGGATGAGACTATCAGCAGTTATTCAACAACGAGCATAAATCCCTACACATCCCAATTGCCAGGAAACTAAGTTTTTGGAGGTTTTGCCTACCAACACACTCACACACATGCACAGTAGAAGCACTGTCTATCTGCTCCTCAAAAGGAAACAACAAAGGAAGACTTGGCTCAAATTAACCTAGTTGAGAAAACACACAGCAAAACTATTCAGAATGTTTCACCATAATTTCAGCACGAATGTAGACCTGTTCCTCTTAGTACCAATCACCTGCAGAATTCTCCCAGCCCATAAAACCAAATATAGCCAAGTGTGAAATTTTTTTACTAAGCCAAATATTGACCAAGCTTAATGCCCAGCCTGCTGGTGTACAAACAAAACATTTGCTTGAGCAGCTTTATTAGTGTGACTATCAGAACAACACGTAATTGCCAGCTTAAAAAACAGCAGCTGGGCCGAGTCAGCCCACAGCTTCTGGCCCAACAGGTCTCACCCTGTAGTGTAACAGCTCACTGATACTTCCAGTCGCCCTCCCAGACCCTTAATCTACACCTCACAAGTTTCCTGGTCTATGAATATTGTTCCACACACTTCATTTCTATTGTAAAGAATGCGTCCGGGAACCAGAAAACTTTATCATCATTCGGTTGCAGTGTATCTCAACAGTCAATTATTCACAACAAAAAAAAAGAAGAAAAAAAGAGTAACTTGTGTTTTAAATTTGCTAGGGGCAAGTTCTACTCAATGCCACCTAATTCTTACAGAAGAGAACACAAACCTCCAGCCCAATTTACATTCTCCATGCTTCCATCACATTCTGCACTTGCCAGCTCTCAGGCAGCAGCACCTCATGCAGTGCTGCTGTGACTTACACAGAAGCACTTCCATATTTCAACCTTTGCTCTTAACGTATTCTGAAGTTTACCATCTTTCTTTTTCAGCCTGGGAAATCTCAGGTGATTCTGATGCGTTAGCATCTAGTTCTCAGCCAGTGATTGTGCACCACCCCAGCCCAATGTCACTAAAGCCTTCCCTGCAGAAGCAAGGCTGACCTGAAAGATTCCTTTCCAACTTCAGTTTTGCTCCTGGTTGCCGCTATGACATTCTGCCCCTTCAGCTATAGCACTGCAAGTGCTTCTGCACCATGCTATAAATTACATCAGTGAACCCATCTGCCTTAAAAAGAGGGAGATTCAGAGGAAGATTTTCCTGTTTTGATTCTACTTATTTCAAACAAAATTTTTGTTTGTAAAAAGTTCCTCAAAACTGTAGCATCAGTTCAACTCAATGACCTCCTGCTTTTTTTCTTTTTTCTTTTTGATCTTTTCATGTAACTGCAATTAGTGAGGGATGAGCTGTGGCCTTGAGCACTAAGCACCCACTGCATCCTCACAAGCACAGTACTTGCTGTGTTAAACTGAGAACCACGATGCAATTCCAAGAAGAACAGAGACAAACAGAAGATCTCAAGTCCCGCGGACCAGACGAGAAGCGCTGCAGAGTCAGTAGCACCAGCAGCAGATAGAGAACAGTAAAATCAGAAGTAATGCGTAGAGCAGGGACAGCAGGCAGACTGCTTCCTGTACCACCTCGCAGAAAACTGACAGAACAGCTGAGCTAAAATTTCTAAGGTTTGGGTACGAATTGCCTCACCTTACTTTATGTGCCAGTCAGTCCTAAACTCAACAGTGTATATATATATATATATATATATATATATATTCATTGTGCAACAGTTGCTCTGAAAGCAATGCCTCCTATTTTATGAGGTTGGCCCATGACACCACAGTTGGGTGTTGGTGGGAGGCAGCAGAGGTTGAACCTTCCACCAATATTCTGTTACCATGTATTGTTACAATATTCTTGTTGCCATGTGGCAGATGGCAGCGAGGGGCAGTCTGACAGGTGGTGTCTGACAGGGAGGTGCAGATGAAGCAAAGATGTGTCACTGAATTCCTCCATGTGAAAAAAGAGAACACAGCGATGTTAACTGACTTGATGAACATTTCTGGAGACCAACAGTGGATGTAGCACAGTGAAGGGTGGATGGTACTCTTCAACAGTGGCAACAACTGTCAACTGCTGGTACAGATTATTGTGAGTGCAGCAGGGTCTTGTCCATTGCTGGCAAAAATGCATAGCTGATGGTGGTGATTGTGTTGAAAAAGAGTGTTTTGTACCAAAAATTCGCTCCATCAGATGGTGGTATGGTTCTCACTGTTGTAGTTTCCATGGGGAAAACTACAGAGGCATTACTTTTGGAGCAATCTACAGACTTACATGTATATCTATATCAATATTCGGTAGAATCTATGGTGTAATTCATCTGTGCAGAACAGGAACGCACTGTGAGGCAAGACAACTCCTGCTAAAGGCTGCTCACGGTGACACCAAGCAGTGCCCTGCTGGCTGCCTGGGGAGATGGGGGTGACAAAGAGGCCCCTCAGCCCTTGGCACCAGTGCACAGCTACACAAACTGTGCTCACTAATCCTGGAACCCTGGAGGAGGGCAAGTATTTCCAATGTATCAAAATGGAAGTAACACCTGTAGATCTACATAATTCAACCCCTCACGGACATTAGGCATGCTTATTGGTAGGGTTTTTTTTTTATAGATTACAGTTGAAGGCAACAGGAGATAATGAAGCCAGTCTACATATGCTACAACAGTTGGAACCGAAGCAAACTGTTAACTTTTGATGTAACAGAAAGGAGCTATAAGCCAGAAAACATTTGGATGAAAATAAGAAAAAGATACATATCACACCCAAAACAGAGACAAATACCAACTGAACCAAGAAAAGACAGCAGTAATCCAAAAACCACAAAAAGAGGTGTGGTTTCACAAACAGAGAACAAGAGATCGGGCAGGCAATAATGTAGCAATGGGTGCAACAACGAATCACTGCCAGAAAAGGAATTTTTTTTGCTAAATATGCACAGAGGGAAAGACTGCCATTAAAAACAAGGACTTCTTGCTGACAATCCACAGATTAAAACCAACCCTTCCAAATCAACTGATCTTGTTACTACTCCCATTCCAGCAATCCCACTTTCAAGGGTATCTCAGACATAAGCAAGCAACAAACTACATTAATAATTCTCACAGCAACAACTCATTTCCTGGCCCTTTCCTTGTCGCCTCCCCTACACACAGCACTGATGTTGGAGCGAAGGCACCGGGGGAGGAAAGGCTCAGAGAGCTCTTTGGAAAAGAGGCAGCTGCAAGTCAGCTCCATCCAGCAGAATTCACCCCAAATCTTGTTGCCTACTTCAGCAGAACACTTAGGAAAGGTGGCACAAACAGACTGCATGAGTCGTGCTGCTGGTACCCATCTGCTGCCAGGCGTTGTTACTTTCAGATGTAGTAGAGAGTGTTGATCTACCATATGGAAAATAACACTTACGAAGCTAAACACAGCATTCCTGGGGAGCTTGAGATCTACAGTACAAGTTCTCCAGGTGCAGGAAACCAATGCTTTCGAGATCACCAAATGCAAAGAATGCACACAACAAGGAAAAGGCCTTTGACAGCATTA